ATCTAGCTATCTATCTAGTTATCTAGCAAGCTAGTTATTTATCTAGCTATCTAGCTATCCATCTAACTAGCTAGCTAGCTAGCTAGCTAGTTAGTTCTCCATCTGTGTTTGGATTGATTTGTTATTCATGCCTGCTTCTAATTCAAGCGTCCGGTTTCAGCCAGCATCTGAATTTAGCTTTTTAATGGAGGGCGTTTAATCAGAGTTCAGTCAAATTAAATGGCTGCATCATTTATTCTCATTACATTTGCTCCACTAAAGCCTCTCAGAGTGGGAAACTCTCCAGTTTCTTTACTGAAACGCTGTTTCTTGACTGTCTGTGATGTTTTCTATGAAGGCTCTGAAACCCAGCAGCTACCTTTGAGGCCGGTTTGTGTTGTAGCGCCACACAAATATCAAGCTAACGTGATTATCCAGGAATGCTGCCATGATCAGAAGCGGGGTTCAGCCACCGGTTGCGTAACGCCGCGGCGTTGTGCTCGCTCCAGCCATCGGATCAACGGGGCCAAACCTGGACCACTAATGGAAATGATCCATCCGGCTTACGGCCCGCTTTTGTCCAGCCACCGTACCACCGAACGGCTTTAGAAATAATAAAAAAATGAGTTCTCCCAGACAGAAAACCTGATGTTTACTAATTGTGAAGCTCTAATATGACGTCTCATCCTCCCAGCTATGAGCAGCATTTGCCTATAAACTCTAAATAGTGTTTTAAGTGTTTAAACGCTGCCACTCACTCTTGAATAGCTCGTCAATTTAGCCTTGCATGATTTAGTTTGAATGCCACTGGGTTGTTTACTCTGGGTTTTGCACAGAGCAGGTCGATGTGCGTTAGATCCTGTTTGAGGCGTGTTGACTCGGGCACGCGTGTAAACACCAATTTGCCAACATGTCTGTCTGTATTCCAGGACCGGGGCTTTAAACTGGACTGTGTTACATTCCCGATCAAGATCTGGGATCATAGTTTGGTCTGTGTCTGTTAGCTGACTGGATATGAGTGGGAAACCTCTCTGTTCTGATCCTCCTGAGTGGGCGACCGGCTTTCTGAGGACATTTTCTTTTGTTTTTTGTGTTTTTTGGTGCTGCGTGGTTGTGTTTAATGGGCCAAAGTGATGTTTACAGTCGGTGCTGTTGTGCTGACGGCAGGACAAAGCCGCCCGGACGGCCTTCCAGAGCGTCGGGGCTGAAAAACAGAGCTCAGCATTCAGCCCGCCAGCGTGCAACAGCACGCCGTGCACGCCAGCCATGCTGCTCCCACCACAACAAAACAGCCCAACTCTTTATGTGCTAACGCGCTAACAAAGATCCATAAGCAGATGGATCGTAAAGCAAATATCTGAGCACCGAATAGGCAATTTTTCTGTCCTGTAACCCAGTCAACTGTCCTCTTTTATTTATTTATTTATTTATTTGTTTGTTTATTTGATAGGGACAAGTATGTTTCATGAATCATGTCACACACTATAACATTTTAGCTAAGGCTAATTCTCAATGCCTGTCCCCAGTTAGGCTTTTACACAAAACACAGTCACTGTACACAAGGCACAACAGAACAAATTACACACTAAAACATCACAGATATTGACTGAATAGGATCATCAAATAATTTCTCTTTCACTCACAATCACTTAAAACATTTAAATTCAGGAGAAAGTTTTGCTGCAAACTCATTGAAAAGAATCCCAAACTAGTCTTTGTGCAGTGTGTTTAATCTGAAGCATCTCAGGGTTTGAGGCAGTCTCGACATGTTCCCAAACACACCGATCAGATTGATGGAACATGAAGATACCGGCCGGTTCGGTCTGGTTGCGCAACGGCCGGCTTAGCTTTCCTTTTGTTTTGCATTTATGAGCACACATACTTTGGTTATGCGCTGAGCTCTTTGTTGTGAATTAATGAAAGCTGCTGATTTAAAGCCGCGTAAAGCCCTTTGTTTGCAGCATGGCAGCAGGGTGTGCCCTCCTACCATTTCCAGTCCAGATGAGGTCATAAGGGGACTCTTTCCTAACTTTTTTTGCAAGATTTGAGTCACTTTTGATGGATGCAGCATTCTCTTTACAGCCCTCTTCAACTCCTCAACATTTTCTTAATTCGTCCATTAAGGATATTGTTTCCCAAAGAATGAGATCACGTTGTGTTGATGTGGGCAGAGTGTGATCAGCAGTGTGTTACAGCCTACTTTTTTTCTCATAAAAAGCTTAAAGTTTGGACCAGGATTTGTTTAGAATCTGGTCCTCTAAGAGAGAGGCTTGTCTTCACCAGAGAGAAAATCAATTCAGGGTTTTTTATCACATCAGTTTAAATGAAGTAGAGACGGTCGGGTGGTTATGTTTAATTGCATTTAGCATTTTCAAAGTAATAGTTAGAGTAATTGATCGTTAGTCACATAACAGCCCTCTGATAGGCTGTTCCAGTGCACAACTCTGCTGAGTCAGGCTGTTTCTGACCAGCAGGAATTATGAGCCATCGGAGCTTTTCCAGCTAATAGTTTGTCTCTGATTCAAAATGTTTGGCGTGCAGATTTATTTCCCAAAATGCAACTACAAGAGTTAGTTTTTTTGATTATGTTGAGATGGATGAGAGAGCTCCAGCTCTCACTCATCCTGTATACCAGTTTTTTTCCACCTTTTTTGAGCCAAGGTACATTTTTTCATAGAAAAAATCACGAGGCACACCACCAACCAAAAATGTTAAACAAATCTGTAGTATATCTATAGTAACACTATAGTTATTCTTATCTCATCTTAAGTGTCTTGAATAGGAATCAAATAAACACAAAAATGTATTTTCATCATATTTTATATTTCTTCTTTCGGATTGCACTTAACATGTCCACTTCAATATACAAAATTACATACAAAATCTAGTCATAAGGAATTATTACATGATTACGCCACCAGTCACTACAATAGCACAGACACTCAAAAATGGCGCATTATTTGCAGATAATTAAGTCCTTATCAAAAAATATTTTTAGACCAATGAGGTGAAATAGGATGATTTTCTACGGCACACCTGACCATCACTAACGGCACACTAGTGGTTGAAAAACACTGCTGTATACATCAGACCCATTTCTTCCTGGTTCGTGGGCAGATTTGAATCTAAACTCCTGGCTTTCCTGTTCTGGGTTTCTCCTCCAGGCCTATGAGCGCCGCTTCCCCACCTGCCACCTCATCCCCATGTTCGTGGGCAGCGACGTGGTGGAGGAGGAGACCAGCGAGGACGGCTCCTCCCACCGGGTGGAGCGCCGCTGTGCGCTGGACGTGGACGCGCCCCGCCTCCTCAAAAGGGTCAGTCCCAACCCCCAGAAAACAGCTCGGGTCAGGCTCCGGCCCTCGAGGATAACGCCCCTCTGCGTGGGCCCCTTTTGCAGATCGCGGGCGTGGACTACGTCTACTTCAGCCAGAAGAACACGCTGAACCGGAGGGACCGCACGCTGCACATCGAGTCCCACAACGAGACCTTCTCCAACCGGGTCATCATCCACGAGACCTGCTGCTACTCGGTCAGTGTCCCGAAGGCTGGAGGAGGAAAGAGGAAGGAGAACATCCCACTTACAGCACAGATCCATCCATTATCCTAACCCCTTATCCCCTAATGGGGTTTAGGGGGGTGGAGTCTGTCCCAGTAGCCAATGGGGAGAGGCGGGGTCACCCTGGACGGTCCCCAGTCCATCACAGGGACACACAGAGACACGCAAGGACCCACAACCACACACACTCACACTAAGGGCAGTTTGGAGTCCAACAACCTAACATGCAGGTTTTTGGAGGGTGGGAGGAAGCCGGAGAACCCGGAGAGAACCCACAGACACAGGAGAACATGCAGACTCCACCCAGAAAGGTCCTGGTTCCCCCGGGACTCCAACCCAGAACCCTCTGGTCCTGGTTCCCCCGGGACTCAAACCCAGAACCCTCTTGCTGTGAGGTGACGGTGCCACTTATAGCACAGATGTCTCCTTTACAGTCCTCCCAGTCTCACCCCCCCCCCCCCCCCCCTTTTTCCACACGCTTAACACCATAACGGCTCATTCATGAATGGATGTGTTATGAGTTAATGAGGTCAAGCGTATCCTATCAGCTCCCGACCGAGTGCAGAGCTCTAATTTTTGGCCCGGGCCTGCGTGGGGATCTCGGTGTGAGCTCTGTACTCCAGCAGTAATCCGGACAGACAGCTAATGGCTCATTTAGCATTTAGAGCTGACCTAACATGGCCGCCGGTGGGAATGCAGCCACCAGTCCGTCTCCCCCCTGGGGGGGGCTGGTGGGCTGCTCGTTTCTGTGTGAACCCGGTCTGAAGGCGTGTTTCGCTGTGTGTGTGTTTGTGGGTCCAGGTCCACCCGGAGAACGAGGACTGGACCTGCTTCGAGCAGACCGCCAGCCTGGACATCAAGTCCTTCTTTGGTTTTGAAAGCACTGTGGAGAAGATCGCCATGAAGCAGTACGCCGGCAGCATCAAGAAGGTGTGCCCCCCCCACCAATGATCCAGTCCAGTCAGGATGTCATGCTGTACATTTACGCGATTTAACATTTGAGATTTTGACATTCTCTCCTAAAAAAAAAAGACGAAAGAAACTCTTGATCTTACATTTTGAAAAATACAGACATTGGACATGGCCTATATGAAAATAGAGGCATATCAGCAGAAATATTCCAGTGAAGGGGACCGTCTCCGTTAGGCTGGTCCCGATCCCATATCTGGATCGAATCGGCCAGCAGGAGAAAATGCAGATCCAGACTGCAGATCCAGTTTTTTTTTTTTAAGTCGATCCCACACAATTTAGCATTAGCATTAGCATCTGTAACCCACAGGTCTGTGTACTAACCAATAAGTTGTTATCAGAGTAAATCCCTGTTCAACATGAGTCTGACAACTAAGTAAGTAGATAAATAACTTTAGACTTTAATACATGCTCTGATAGGCCGGGATCAGATCGGAAGTGCAAACAGTTGGAGTCACCTGACTAATTTAATTAACCCTTTAAAGCCTGATCCAAGAAAAATAGGAAGAATCTTGGATTTTTTTGGTCTGAAGTCTTTCTTTGGCCCCTCAACAACATATGAAGAAAAAAAACAGGAATTATTTTGATCAAATTAGCATGCAATAAGTCAAAAATGTATTTTGGTGTAGTCTTCTACTTCAGGTATATCTGAATGTGTACAACAGGGGTTTGAGCAAAGCTTTTACCACTGAAGGATGCAAAAAGTCTCAGATCCAAAATACTTTAGAAACCGTATCAAAATGACACATTTGGCGTTATAGGGTTAATTAGCTTTAGTACAGTACTGTTTTTTGTGTCATGTTTGTCAGTTTTCAGTTGAAAAATACTCAAAAGTATTGTAATTCTCTGCGTTATACTTGATATTCAAGCAAGCAGACTCATGACACCATTCAATTATAAATCCTAATCGTAATGTAGTCCACAATAATCGCACGTTTTCTTCAAATCGTGCAGCAGTACCTCACAGCTGGACTGTTCCGGATGAGACAGCCGCCTCATCCGGGGCCGAAATGAGTTAGACCAGGGGTGCTCACACTTTTTCAGCATGGGACCAAGTCAAAATGATCTACCCATTATATTTATTGAGAAATATATTGAGGATTCTTACAACTTATGTTGTAAGAATATATATATATAAATGTAAGTTTTTTTCTTCTTACTTGGTCCAGCTCCCTCCACTAATTTTCAAAACTTATTTTACGTTTAAGAAAAAAACGAGCCAAAAATTAGGATATAACTAACGACTAGCTTGTTAGCTTAGCTTAGTTCAGGGGCGTTGTTTGACCTAATTACCTAATTGTACAGAAAAAAATCAGATGTCATCTGGCTGGTTGTCCTGTGTATCAATCAAGTGACGGGATGGCTGATAGGCTGACGACTAGTCTTTATTCAAAACAACGCAACTTTATTTGTATAGCGGCAGTTCATGACAATGTCTCCTCACCTTGTCATGTGATCTACCAATAGCACCTTGGAGATCAAGTGGTAGATCGTGATCGACGTATTGATCACCCCTAAGTTAGACGAACTGGTGTGAACTTCCCGGGTCGCTTAGCACCGATCTGAGCATTCCTGAATCCTTTCCTCTTATATTTCCCACATGTTTGTCTGTTTCTCCTCTGCTCCTCCCAGGGAAAAGAGATCATCGAGTTCTACCTGAAGCAGCTGGAGGACGAGGGCATCACCAGCGTTCCCCGCTGGACCTCCTCCTCCGACTGCCCGGCCCTCTCCAGGCCCACCAGCCTGGCCACCGGCCCCCCCGCCCCCCCCACACAGACCAGCACGCTCGCCGTTTCCGTCCCGCAGGCCGCCGACGCCAAAGATGGCGGCTGCCAGGAAGCCAAGCAGGACGGCAGCTCGCAGCCGGCCGAAAACGCCAACGACAGCCTGGCTGGAACCCCAGAAGGTTTGTGCCTCTTAGGAGAGAGAGAAGTGGTTGAGAACCATTTGATTTTAGCTGAATCTGAGTTAACCCTTTAAAGCCTGATCCAACAAGAAAACAAAACTGAAAATTGCTTTTTTTTTGGGTTAGAATTCCTTATTTGGCCTTTTAACAAAATATGTAAAAAAAAAAAACAAATACATTTTTATTATTAATAATTTATTATTATAGGATAAGTCAAGATTATTTTTTGTGTAGTCTTCTGCCCCGTTATCAGGTGTATCTGATTGTGAGCAAAGTTTTTATCATTAAATTCTGGAAAAGGTGTCAGACGCAAAACATTTCAGAAACCGTATGAATCAAATATGACACATTTGGCATTAAAGGGTTAATTACAGCTTATTTTTTTATAGTGGATTGTCCTGTTTAGGTTACTGTTCCAGCTGAGTTTATTCTGTAGATGTAAATATCTAGTTTTTCATTGTTCTAAACCAGGGGTGTCAAACTCTGGCTCACGTTGTAATTATATTATCTTTACCAAATGACTCTGAGAGCTGGCCCCCGGTGTTATACTGTACAGACCATTAACCGCTCATACTACAACTCCCATAATGCCCTGCTGCTGTTCAGGGCAGGACCCAGAAACTCCTCTGTGACAGTAACTACACACTACAGCTGTCACTGTGCTGCTTCCCAAAAATGACCAAAAGAAAGAAACAGGAGCTTTCTGGACAAGAACATTTCATTTAGAGATTTAATTCAGAAGGACCGCGAATAGAAAAATGTTTTTAAATCTTATTTTGTAAATGAATGCCATTGATGTATTTTTTTTATTTTAAATGAGATTTTGCCTGTCTCCACTATTAAGTTATATATAATGTAACAAGAGTTGCTTTTTTCCATATTCAATGTTAAGCAAAATTAGTTTTGTTCCATAGTAAAAGGTTAATTTGTTCAATCTTGGCCCGTTGCTTTGTTCAGGTTTTACATTTTGGCCCATTGTTTTTGAGTTTGACACCCCTTTTCTAAACGGTGACACTTTTACCTTTTTCTATAGTTTAATGCCAGGAGAATTAATATTTTTAGACAAAGGGATAAAAACGGCGTGCGCAGATTGAAGGATTAAAGCGTTTTTGGTGTTGCAGACAAGCTGGATGCGGATTACATCAAACGCTACCTGGGCGACCTGACCCCCCTTCAGGAGAGCTGTCTGATCAGGCTCCGCAAATGGCTCCAGGAGACGCACAAAGGAAAGGTAATCTGCAGTTCTTCACCATCTTTTAATCGTTCTCTTTCCTCCCCTGAAATTTAAAGTCTCTTTTATAAGCAGCTCTTACGACAGATGATCATACAGCATGTTTTTTTTATTGTATGGAGAAGAGGCATGAGTACATTTAAACGTAAAAGCTTTCACATTTTTAACAGCATCTTCAGATTTTTGTGAGGAAACAGACTCGGACTCGGTGGGGAATCCATTCCTGCATTTTCCTGAATTACTTTGGGCTTTAAGGAGGCTTAAAAGTACAGAGCTTCATACATTTGAACCATTTTCGGTGATCAGTTTCTGCTTATTTGCACAGAACTGCTGCCTTTTCTGGTGGGATCACCAAGCTCAAACTGGGATTTAGGAATCAGAACAATGCAGCCCGAGCTTGTTATGATGCCCCATGATCGCCTCTCTGACTCCACCAGACAGAAAACACTTTGTTCTAGCTTTTGTTCTGCCTTTCCACCAGTGTTTGAATCATTTCCACCAGAGGGTGGATAAACGGGTGAATATCTAGAAGGGCCAGAGGTCGTCTAACCTGAATACCTGCGTCCCGCTCTGATTCCAGATCCCCAAAGACGAGCACATCCTTCGCTTCCTGAGGGCCAGAGACTTCAACATTGACCGGGCCCGCGAGATCCTGTGCCAGTCTCTGACCTGGAGGAAGCAGCACCAGGTGGACTACCTGCTGGAGACCTGGAACTCCCCACAGGTCCTGCAGGACTTCTACACGGGGGGCTGGCACCACCACGACAGAGGTACCCGAAACCTGCCCGGGAGATGGACTAGGCTGGTCCCGATCCGATATCTGGATCTGATTCGTAAAAAACTGCGTATCGGCCGGCCTGATAAAATGTAGATCCAGACTCCAGATCCAGATCCAGTCCAATCCCACACGAGCATTAGCATTAGCATCTGTAACCCACAGGTCTGTGTCCTAACCATTAAGTTGTTATCAGAATAAATCCCTGTTCAACATGAGTCTGACAACTAAGTAAGTAGAATAAATAACTTATATTTCTCTTAACTTATTGATCCTAACTTATATAATAAACCGGGACATCCCTAGTTTGAACGCACCCCAACAAAAAAGGCTCCATTTGTGCCGGTTTTGGAGATGTGACCCTCTTTGTTCAATAGTGCATAAATAGCTATCACAGCTTACATTTGGGATGGGATTTGATTTTTGTCTTTGGCTTTAAAAGGTTTTGTTGATTTCTTTTAAAGAGGTAAAAAACCCTAAATCACCCATTAGCATTAGCATTAGCATCTGTAGCCCACAGGTCTGTGTCCTAACCATTAAGTTGCTATCAGAGTAAATCCCTGTTCAACATGAGTCTGACAACTAAGTAAGTAGATAAATAACTTTAAACTTTAATACATGCTCTGATAGTGTGCAAAAAGCTGGATCAGGACGTCCCTAAAATGGACGCACAAACACACAAACGCACACGGGCTTAAGCTGTATAGCAGCTGTCTGAAAGCGGCCCTTCAGGATATCAGGTTCCCGTCACGTCAGAGGACACTTCTGACAGCATTCCAGTCATTCCCAACAAACCCGGATTTTCCGGAATGAGAAATAATCCGGTTTGTCGGCATCACAGATGCTCAATGGATTTAAAAACCAAAAAGAAGACAAAAAGAACATCTCTCAAAGTCTGCTTTTAAAGCAATGTAATCTTTTAAATTGAGCCGTGTGATTGGTGGAGAGAGCTGGACATTAAAGCTTTTCTTTTCCTTTTTTTTTTCCCCACATATTTTTATTGTTGTTAGAACAGATGTTCAATGTCATACAGGTTGAAATGTTTTACAGTTGTTACACTTCCTTTGGCGACAGTGTACAACGTGCCAAGAATTACACAGCCTTTTAACAATTTACATTTTTATATTTTTATAAACCCCATCCAACCCTAACAATCCCTGTGCCGGGAAATAAAAATAAATAAATACCATAAATAATTATAATTAATTATAATGAACCAATATTAATAAAAAATAAATAATAAAATAAACACTTTTATGATAAATAATATAATAATAAAATAATAATAAAACATCCAACCCTAACAATCCCTGTGCCGGAAAAGAAAAATAAATAAATAAATACAATTAATAATTAGAAATAATTATAATGAACCAATATTAATAAAAATAAATAATAAAATTATCAATTTTATGATAAATAATAAAATAATGATATAATAATAGTAAAATAAAATATAATTAAAAAAAATGTAAACGTATCCCAAGATGGAAGTACTTAATGTTGAAGCTTGTTTACTTATGAGAGGGGAGAGTTGCAAGTTTGTCAAATTAACCCAGTTAAGGGTCCCATACTTTGTAAAGCTTTTCTAACTTCGTTTATTTGCTTTTCTCCCCAGACGGGCGTCCTTTGTACATCCTGAGGCTGGGCCAGATGGACACCAAAGGCCTGGTGCGCGCTCTGGGAGAGGAGTCTCTGCTCAGACATGTGAGTCTCACCTGTGATTTCCCTCGCCGTGAGGTCCAGGTGTTTCCAGGTGTGAGTGAAGTGGAACGCTGTTTGTGTCCGGCCAGGTGCTGTCCATCAACGAGGAGGGCCTGAGGCGCTGTGAGGAGAACACCAAGGTGTTCGGGCGCCCCATCAGGTAGGTCTGGATGTGAGCAGGCACCAGTTCGGGTTCACTTAAGATGAACTTTTAGCAGGAAAACGCAGAAGAAGGAAACCAGACAGAGGAAGATAAAGCATCAGATAATCTTTAAGATTCTGAGTCATGATATACCCAGGACATGAAGCAGCCTTCTACTAAAAGAGGACAGATATGTGCTACAAGAAGGGAACATATTGGGAAAAAATATGGCAAAATTGAATATATAGTAATGGAATTGTTGACACATAAGATACAATCTCAGGAACAACTATCAATCAATCAATCAATCAATTTACTTTATTAATAATGTGTGTCCCGCACAATGAAATTAATCTAACTATGTTGAGACAAATGGAAGAATTGGGCTGTTTATTCGACGACAGCATGAGAATTAAAGGGAAAATAATAGAGGAGCAAACTGTGGAGACGAGGCAAAACTCAGCTCTTTTTCTCTTGATGCTTATGTGAGCTTGTTCCCCATTTTTATCCTTTTATTCCTCCCACGTCTACTTTTTAAAATAAAATAAAAAAAAGGAAGTATTTTCCAGAGATATTTCAATAAATATCTCATTTAAAATATGTATTAAAATGTGCAAAACGGTCTGAGATGAGCATAACTGAACAGGATTCAGTTCAGCTTAGAAGCAGAAATCATAACAAAGACTTAGCCCACCCCCCCTCCAAATAAAACTGAAATGATGCACGTGGCCTGTTAGCGTGACAGCGGGCTGGTGTCTGTCCAGCGGCGCCGGGATCAGGACTCAGCGAGAGGAATGTGAGCTATGAGCCTCCAGAATTAGCAAACTGTGCCATCAGCTTAAGCCCCGCCCCCCTCTAGCCCCCAGTCGGCTAGAGGATGACACAGGAGTGGATTTTCACTCCTGTCCCGTCCCACTCTCATAGAAATAAATCTTGTCCCGTGCCACTCCCAGACCAAAGTTTAAAAAATAAATCAAAATAATCCCATCCCATCCCATCCCGCTCCTGTTTAAACTGACTCCCGTTCCTGTACCGCTCCCATATATTTTTTTTCTTCAATTAGTGTTTAGTCTTACAAGCAACGTCACATTCTACTCTCATAAACTTATATAATATTTCAGACTTTCCGACCAGTTCTGTGAACTTAATAGACATGTCATTACTTCTGACTTTGAGCTGTAAATCATGTTTTTTAGCTCCCTCCATCAATGCTCTTTGAATTCAGGCAGTAAGCCGTGACAAAAAGCCCTGATGGCTTCTGGGACGGCTGGGTCATGTCGTTATTTTTTAATTGCGTTACATTGTGGGCATATTAAAAGGAAACTACAAAATGGTGCATTTACTTTTTTTTTTTTTTCGGCTTTGCTGTTGGTTGATTCCCGCTCCCGTCTGCTCCCGTTAACCATTTATCCTACAGTCCAAATCCCGTGATTAACTCATTGACTGGCAGCCATTTTCAGAACAGAGAGTTGCTCACTGCCAGAGTTTTTTGAGCATTTTGACAGATTTTTCAAGAGCCACAGAATAGTTTGTGCTATGACTTTGTAAACACCGAACACACCAAAAGAAAGAGTAGACTCTCTCCTTTCATCAGGAAAAAAAAAAGTGTTTCTACCTTATTCCGTTCTTCCTGGACTTGCGTCTCACCGGCGACATGTTCTCTCATAGCGAACCATTGCGTTTGTTTTTATTTGCCTACAATCTATGCTAATATCCCATCAAAAGTGGCACAGCTACCTAGAGGGTAAATTTGTTACTACATACTCTGTCTAGAAGCCCATATTTACGGAAAAACTTTAGCCGATCGTTCCCCAAGCCACTCGCATTGAAAAACATAAAAGACGTCTATAGACGTCTTTGGCAGCCAATGAGTTAATAGCAAACATGACTCCCATCCTGCAGGAATCCCACGGGAATCCCGTGGGAATCCCGTGGGATTCCCGAAAAAATGTCAGCCTCTACAGCCGGCCCCTTCCAGAGGCTTCACCCCCCTGATCCTGTCTCTTCCTGCCCCCCCCCCCAGCTGCTGGACCTGCCTGGTGGACCTGGAGGGGCTGAACATGCGCCACCTGTGGCGACCGGGGGTCAAAGCGCTGCTCAGGATCATCGAGGTGGTGGAGGCCAACTACCCGGAGACTCTGGGCCGGCTGCTCATCCTGAGAGCTCCGAGGGTCTTCCCCGTCCTCTGGACTCTGGTGAGAACAACAGAGGCTGCTTAGTAACTCGGATATTGTCATCTAAGAGAAACCTGCATGTTTTGTTTTATACGGAAGCTAAACTGGGAGTCCTGAGACGCAGTTTTCAGGCCTTCAGAAGCCATTTGAAAGAGTTTTTCTCTCATTTTCAGTCCCGTCTTTGTAGCTGAGCGCTATCAGGGAAATGTGATTTCTTTGTGAAGCCACTAACACTAGAAGTCCAAGAGATTTTCAGTCTTCCTGCAAGCCCCCCTCCCCTCTTCAATTTTGTGTATTCCCTCTACCTTGCTAACTGTCCCTGTTGTAATGCAGATAACCTGAGATATGACTTGCCTCTGTACATGAGACTGGATAAAGGCTGAAACAAACTGGCATCAGAGCATGTTCCAAACACTTCTCATTACCTGCCCCAGGAATATATTGATAAGTCATATCTAAATCTTTAATTTAGGCAAACCTATTGAACAACCAGAGATCGTAGGGGTCCTAGTTCCTGAGCTGAGAAAAGGTCATAACCATACTTTTCCAACAAGGCAGAGCCTGTTTCTATTGTCCATTCACCAAGAGACTCATTTAGATTAAAGCTCATTAGGTGAAAGAAAGAATGATTATATTTTGTTTTGTTGTTTTTGGTTCTCCAACAACAGCGCTAATGGGGCGTTTACATCTGAAAAGGGATTCATGAGTCGAGAAATCCTGTTTGGGGGACTAGAGGCTGAGGGAAATTTTCGTATCTCTGGGCTTTATAGTGCTAAACTCTGAGCTTTGAGTAATTCAGGCAGAAAGAACTCCCCTAACTCAAGGGATGAGCCAGCGTTGTGTCTGCATGGAGCAGAAAACGTAGCAAAGAACCCGTTCAAGCCGTTTTCTTCCAATTATGTTTATGTTTAAGTAAATAAAACTACTCGCAGCATAGAGAAGTTAAGATCGGCTCTTTTTTCAGGATTATTTATAGACACAGTAATAAACGGATGTTTTTAAAATCTCAGGAGGTCATGAACCCACTAAATTCTCCTTATATTCTCCCCCTGCCTGTAGGTGAGTCCATTTATCGATGAAAACACCAGGAAGAAGTTCCTGATCTATGCTGGCAATGACTACCAGGGCCCGGGGGGCCTCGTGGACTACATAGACAAGGAGATCATCCCTGACTTCCTGGGAGGAGAGTGTTTGGTGAGTGTTCAGAAGTCCTGCCGAGTACCGTATTTTCCCACTATAAGGCACCTAAAAGCCTTCGGTTTTCTCAAAAACCGCCTTATAATCCGGTGCGCCTTATATATGGATCAGGATTGAGTCGTAACTACGGGAAACAGCCGACTCCATTTTCTCCCATAGAAGAAGTAGCGTTTGGCAAAGAGGTGCCACCTTCTGGGGATCCGCAGTACTGCACAATGTTCATATCTGTTAGTCCCCATTTAAAAAGTGGACGCAGCGAGAGAATGCTGCTGTAAAAAAATGTGGATGTTAAAGGTAAACGTTGAATCTGATCCTAACTACGACAACAGGCAGTTTAGTTTTTTTCCGAGAAAAGCTGGTTAGATTTATGCTAGCTGCTATATATTGTGATGCGTTTGATTCACTGTAACTTATCAGACTGTTTCTGTTCTTTACTGAATGGAGGAAAAGTCCCCTCCACTACCTGATAAAAATGCTGCTCTACCTATTAAACATTGTTGTTGTTAAAAAATAAACTGTGTCGTGAAAACACCACATCACTGACATTAGCGCGGGAAAAATAATAAAACAGCTGTTTATTCATTTTGGGAGTAAACGGTGGTTTGTATTCTATTAATAAAGTTTTCTTTTTCTTCTTTTTACCCCTTGTTGTGTTCAGCATTAAGGCAACAGAGTTGTAATCAAAAGTTTTGCTTTGTCAGGGTGAGAAGCCTCCCTTGATCATCCAATACCGCTTTATTATTTATTTAAGATTTATTTTTACAGAAGTAAGATGGTTAATGCCAAACCTGACAGGGGGGGCAGGAAAAGAGAAAAAAAAAGAAATAAAAAATTTTTAAAAAGGGAGAAAAAAAAACATTTAAAAAAGGAAGAGAGAATAGAGAAATGGTAAAAATAACCCGCACCGAAAAGAAGAGAGATCCTTAAAACAGGAAGAGAGAAAAAAGACAACAAAACCATACATTTGGTTTTCTATCTGTATAAAAATGTCCTGTAGTCACTGTGGATGATAAAGTGTGAATGACTTATCTGGCTGTTTAGTTGGCGTTCCCTTTAGCATAGCTATATCTGGATGCTAATGCTAACTCCAGCAGCTACTGGAGCTTCTCCTCTATGTGGTTTATATATGAAAGCATTTTGTTTTAAATGGGCCATTCATTGGCGGGACACCTTATAGTGTGGAAAATCTGGTACTTGGCACTGGGATCTGCCCCCCTGACCCAGTTCCCCCCCCCCCTGTCTCTGCAGTGTGAGGTTCCAGAGGGCGGCCTGGTGCCCAAATCAATGTACCGCACCAGCGAGGAGCTGGACAATGAGGACGTCCGTCTGTGGACCGAGACCATCTACCAGAGCGCCAGCATCTTCAAAGGAGCTCCCCACGAGGTGAGGCTGCCATCTGGTGGACGTCCGCCTGAAATGGTTTGTGGGAAGTGGAACTTGACAGATGAGTC